ATTCCTGGGTGCTTGTACTGGCCCCCCACTGCCCTTTCCTCTACCCCAGAACTCCCATTTTCATGATGCCTTCTCTTCTCCCCAAAGGGCCTCAGACATTCCAGGTTGGATAAAGAACAGAATAATCCACAGAATCAAGTAACTGTGTGGATAAAGACAGGAGACACATATGGCACAGGTAGGAATATCAAAATAGGCAGAGAGAGGAAAAGAATATTGACTGATAACCTATTGTGTGTGGAACTAAGGGTAAAGTAAGTGAGTATTTAATGGCAAGGGAACTCAAATTCTGGGAGAGTAAGACTCAGGATCTCTCTCTTTAAAACAATGTGTGATCATGTGACTTTTATGTGATCTGTTTGCCTTACCATGTACACAATAAATTCTATATATAGTTGTTTTCATAATTTACTACTGAAATCTCATAGCCTATTCTTTAAATCTGAAAACTCCTTAAATTTGTTCCTTAGTGAAAGGAAAACAAATTATCATTGCTGAACTTGAGTACTGTATTAGACTGAAATGAATCATAAACTGTACTCTTTGTAGTGTACGTGAAGATATTTTTAGTATTGACTGTCATGTCTTCAATAATCCTCTAATTTTTGTTTAAACCTAAAATCTAACTTTTTTGTATCTCAGCTGTCACATCTTATGAGAGTCTCATGAGGAATCTCTCATTATTTTTAAAGAACAAACAAAACTACAAGGTACCTTACTTATCCTATGAGCTGTTTCATTTTGCAAATGAGCTGGGCAGGGTACTGATCTGAGTGTCAGATTTCGCTCCAAACATTCGTTGGATTTCTAACACAGTATTTTTAAAGTATACTTTATGCAGGCTATTTGTTAAATTATTTTTTTCAATTTTCCCTTTATACCCAATTTAAGTTTAAAAAAATTCTTAAAAAAAAAAAAAGTCATGAAATAGATTTAAGGCTTCGTTCTCGTGGTAAGACTGGTGAACTGGCCATGTAAAAGGCATTCACAAACTCCCTTTACCTTGCCTTCTACTTCTCCAAAGGCCCAAAAACGAAAATGGTTTCCCATATTCTCTTGCTGCTAGGGGAGGCCATGTGACCCAGTTCTGGCCAGTGAGATCTAAGTGGAAACTCCGGTAGCAGCTTCCAGGAAAACATTTCAAAAGGACAAATCTGGCTGACACATGCCTTTGGCCTTGCCTTAGACCTCTCACTTCTTCTTGATAGGCTGATACCCAGGGGTGCATCAGACTTCTTGCAGCCATGAGGTCGAAAACTCCATGCTAAGGATGATGGAGGAGAAAGCCAGTAAGAGCCAGAGTCCTTGATTATGGTATTGTTGAACCACTGTTCTAAACCTGGATTTATCAACAAGACAAATAAATCTTTTGTTTGCTTAAGCCATTATTAGTAACTGCTAATACTTAAAACTAATGCATCCCAACTGTTCCACTCCCTCCCCAACATTTGTGCAAGTACTACAAATCTAGAGCTTTCCATCTATTATTGATCTTCTCCTATTACCAGCATGATAAGGTATATCCTAAAGCTTTAAAATTCAAAGGCACATTTAAAACATGGAAAGAATTAAGTTTCTTTCACTCTGCACATTCTTTCAAACTAGTAGTTAACTTCACTGAATAAATCTCAATAGTTAAAAAGCTGATTTGAACCCAAACACTGTGTTTATACAAAACCAACTTCTAAACTTACCAAATGCTTTAGCATACTTATCTTTTAATGATGCTCTATTTTCTATCCCAATTTGTAATACACCCAGAATAATCAATCCTATTCTCCAATGGTTTTATGTTGTCTTGAAGAACACTCTAATTCTCTTCCCTAAATGTATTAAATTCAGACATAGGTAATTTAATCCTGGGGGAGACTAACTGCTGCTGACATTTTTAACACCAGATGTAATTAGTAACCTAGAATTCTTCTTCAAAACTAACTATGACACAAGCTAATATCTAAAATAATGACTCAAGATTAAAGTCTTATCAACCTTTGCTATAAAATATTAAAGCTGTCTAATCTCATATCTTTGCAAACCTAATAAAGGCAACTGAAAATGCCAATAGCAATGGTAAGTTATGCCCATTTCAAAGTACAGCCAACCATTTACTGGGCAAAATAACAACGCTTTTTCATGTAGTTATATGTTTCAGAACAAATTCTAAAATTTGTTATTTTATTCCTCTGAAAAATTGCTTGACATATAACTGAAAAGAAAGTTGGGGCACGTACAAATACATGCACAGACACATGACGTTTTCTAAAAACACTATTTTGACCATGTCATTTCCATGCTCAAAATTCAATAGCTCTCTACTACTTTCAAAAATTCAAACCCGCTGGGTCAGCCCAAATTCCCTTTCCAGTTTTACTTCTTCCTACTTCCCAACCCTGATCAAAATTATTCTATTTCTTCCAAAAGAAATTCATATTGTAATTTTTATGCAGGATGTCCGCAACAGTTATTACAAAAAGAAATTAGAAGCAGTCTAAAAGGCAAAGGAATATCCACAAAATACCACATATAACTATTAAAACTCATGTTGTTTGAGCACATGTGGGGATATGCTCATGGGCCTATTTAAAAAATTGAGAATTGTGTCTATTTAAAAAAAATGATACCAAGAATACAGTATCATATTATTATTATATAAATATCAAAAATCACATTATTACTATAAAAAACTGTTCATCAGTTATAGTTCTAAAATACTATTCATCAATACAATGAAGACATAATAAACAGTTTTCCTAAATACTAGCAACAAATAATAATCAAAGAATTCGCTATATCGCCACCAAGAGTTAAATGTGACATAAACAGTTAAACATCTAAGATATTAAATACATCTTTAATATTTTTAAACTAAGGAATACAAAATGTTACTTTAAAAAAGTTTTAAGGTGTTGCTAAGAATACAACTGTAATTTATCCCTGCAAAAACCTGCTGACAGGATCACCGAAGATCTCATCTTTAAAAAGACTAAATTTAACTGCAGAGAGGTTTGGGTTTTTCAAGCACGCTTGGAATCTTATTACTACCAAAACGATAAGATTTCAAAGTATATGCTTAGTAAATGAATTAAAAAAAAAAAAAAAAAAAAAACGAAACTATATAGGTTCCTTTAGGGCATAGACTTTTTTTTTTCTATTTCAGCCCTCAAATTCCAGAATTCTATTTCATTTGTGAAACTTCACAGGCTTCTAAAGGAAATCCCGTGGACAATGTTTTGATAAATGCTGCTAAAATCTTTAATAGACTATTACTAGATTTGTACAAATTCTAAGACTATCATAATTACTATTAAAACTGTTATACAGAATATTCAGAAAATACCAATTTATCTTTGGAAACAACTAATAGCAGTGATAATCTGTATTCATTTAAGCATTCACAGAACCCAACAAATCCAATTAAAACATACTAAAACACTATCTTTTCTTAATTTTTAATTACAGCATTTAAAATATTTGAAAAGTCTTTACATTTTACTTTCTCACAATTAAGGTGTCAACAGGTTCATTAAAGACAGAGATACCAAAAAAGAAACCAGAACCCTTAACTCCTTCACACACCAGAAGGTTCATCCCACGTCTGTCTTCTTTCCATTTCCCTGGCTACCGCCTGATCCAAGTAACACAACTCCCTTGGCCGACACCTGATGTCTCTGAGGTTTACTCTTTTCCTCCTATAATCCTTTCTCTACATACAGAAAATTCTTTACAAAATGTATACCAGATTGTGTCACATCTCAGCTTAAAATTCTCCCATCACAAACAATAAAATTCAAACTCATTATCATGGCCTACAAGATTAAACATGACCCCTTCCCTCACTTACCATGCTCTACCTACACTGGTCTTCTTTCTGTTTCTCAGACACACCAAACACATTCCTCCAACTCATCTGCCTTCACATATCTGCTGTCCCCCTTGCCTGAAATGCCTCCTACCCCCTCACTCCCCCAAACTTTCCACATGACTTGCTCCTCTTTATCTCCAGTGCAGGGTTCCCAGATTTAGCAAACAGAAATACAGAATATGTACTTAAATTTGAATTTTAGATAAACAACAAATAATTTCTTAGTATAAGTATGTCCTCTGTGATACTTGGGATATTCTTATACTACAAAATTATTACTTCTCTGAAATTCAAATCGAACTGTATTTTTTTCTGGCAACCGTGCTCCAGTGTCATCCCTTTTATCACTAGATCTAAAAAGTCTCCTTTGTCATAACTCATCACTTGATTTTCTTCATACCAGAAAAAAAAAAAGAAAAACCAAAGCTGTTGCTGTCAAGTTGATTCTGACTCATAGTGACCTCAAAGGGCAGAGAAGAACTGCCCCATAGGGTTTCCAAGGAGCAGCTGGTGGATTTCAAACTGTTGACCTTTTGGTTAGCAGCCAAGCTCTTAATCACTGTGCCACCAGGTCTCCATTCCCTTCATAGAACTTGTCAATCTCTGGAAATTACGTTGTTCACTTCTCTGGTTTACTCACTTATTTCTATGTTCTATCTGTATCCTATAATGTGTAGTTCATCTCCCCCTCTTTTAACCCCCACACCATACCTTTACCCCACGTTAGCTCCAAAAGAATAGGGTCTTTTCTCCTCTTGAAATGTTTCTCTAGCTTGTAAAACAATGCTTAGCACAAAGGAAGTGCTCAAAAAATATCTGTTGAGTGAAGGTTCTGAATTTATATGCTTTGTAAGGTGTTTAGTATAATTATTCCCTTCTAATTCCACAAACCATGGAACAATTTGACAGTCTGGAAGGAAAATTAATGAGACCATGTTTTTTATACAAGCAATCTGAATACTATAGTTTTATGTGATTCATTTTATTACCAATGCTGTATCGCAACAAGGCAAATAAATACGAACTGTCCGTAACTATCCCTACATGATCACAAATAACTAGGAATATAGAAATATTAAAAACACCCTGCTTATAGAATGACTTTATAGAGATGTAAATCTATGCAAATCCATTTTACCGTCTTAATGGAACTTCTTTGTTTTTCTTCCCAAACACCACTGCTTAACTCAAGTGTGCAGTGAATATTTGCTTCTCTGTCATAAGATCCAAAAATGAGTAACCTGCAAGATAAAAATAAAGCAGGAGGACTATTATTCCAGTTATATGCATTGAAATGTTTCTCTCTGATCATAGTATCTATACTGAGAAGTAATATGTTACTCCATCCCTATTATATTTTTGGTAACACAACACAAAAAAAAATTAAATTAAACTCTTGGTACACCCTCTAGTGGAAAAGTGAAGTAAAGCTAAAATTAGGTTAGATTCCAGGACAGACTTAGTTGTTCGGTAGCTAAGTCAAATAAATAGAAAGCCTAGTCAGAACTGACTTAATGGCAACTAACAACACTCTCTACTCATGAGGTAAAGAAACTGACCAGATATTTACATACAGTAGCAAGATCTATGGATCTCGAAATTAGATTGTTAAATTTTTAAAAAGCTGCAAAGTGATGCACACGGTATGAATCATCTCTATAAAAATTAAACACACACACCAAACAGTACAAAATAACTCCTTGTGAATACACACACATACACATGTATATGGCAAGAGGATATTTAAAAACAAAAAAAACAAAACACCCTTGTCTAGTCTAGTATTCCATGGGAAGGTCTTTTGGGTAACAACACATCATTATACAGAGACCATATCAGTTCATACTCAGGTGTTTACATCATAGTGAAAGGGAATTAATTCAGAATTTGGCAGAACAGCATTGTGGTTAAGAGCACACAACTTCTGGTCAAATGGACTCGAGTTTGAATCCAAATTTTTCCACCTACTAAAGTGATCTAAGGCAAGTTACTTAACTTCTCTAAACCCATCTCTTTCTCTGGAAAATTCAGGGCAAAAATAGAACTTACCTCTTAGGGTTGTTGTGAGAGTAAAAGAAGACAATGAATGCAAGACATTTAGCATAATGCCTAGCAAACAGTAAGTGCTCAATAAACGTTTATTTCTATTATCTTGAAAGCAATTGTCAAGGAACTATGGCATCATCTAATTTTACTGTTTAATATTCAGATCTAAATAGAAAATCTCAGGTCTAGTCCTGAGATCACATAAAGCAGTTTTTATTATTGAAGAAAAAATTATTCTTAACCATGTAGCTAACTTCTATATTATCTGTCTTCAAAATCAGAAAACAAATTTACCTATTTGTTTCAGGAATAAGCTTGAGAATGGGTTTAACAACAATCAACATTTTGACTGTTACTCTATTACTTTATCTCTACACAAGGATCATGGGGTAGGAGTGAGATAATAAAAGAAGAGTGGATAAAGCACATTAGAGAAGTATGAGAAAACTGTGTCCTAAGGTTGGAGATGATTTCCTCAGGGAAATCATTATGTCCATACTTCTCAAATAGGTCTCACATACTGAGAAGCCTGAATAAACAAATGGCAAAAAAAAAAAAAAATCCCACTGAACTTACCTAATTCTTAAAGAGTCTTAAAAGGAACTTTAAACTTAGTGCTTAACAACCTATGACCAAAAATAAGACAGGCCAAATACTTTAAGAAGGTTCAAAACTATAAAATACTAAGTTTAGAAAAATGAGACTTTTTATTCACCAAACCTCTGCTGCCACCATCTGTTCAAAAAGGCAAACTATCTTAGGGCCTTTATTATCACGCAGAGAAGGCTGTACAACAGCTAGTGTTTCCAAATTCCGGACAAATATCAATCTCTGAGATTTGGGAATGAGAAAGCCGAATTCTTAGAAATTCTTTCCTGAAATCAAAGTTATTCTACAGTTCTCAGAGAACTTTTTTAATTTAAAGTTTAAAAAAAGAATGAGCCATCCACAAAAATGAACTCAAAATGGATCACAGACCTAATTTTAAGTCTTAAAGCTATAACTCTTAGAAGAAAACATAGGAGTAAATCTTTGCTACCTTGGATTAGGCAATGGCTAAGAGATATGAAACCAAAGGCATAAGCATCAAAAGAAAAAAACAGATAAATTAGACATCATCAAAATTAAAACTTTTGCTTTTCAAAGGATACCATGAAGAAAATGAAAAGACAGCCCACAGAATGGGAGAAAATGTTTGCAAATCATATATCTGATTAAAGACTTGTATCCAGAATATATAGAGAACTCTTAGAATTCAGTCATAAAAAGACAAATAACCCAATTAAAAAATGGACAAAGACTCTGAAGAGACATTTCTCCAAAGATAGACAAACGGCCAATAAGCATATAAAAAGATGCTCAACATCATTAGTCATTAGGGAAATGAAAATCAAAACCACAAAGAGATAACACTTTGCAACCACTAAACTGGCTATAATGAAAAACACTGACAATAACAAGCACCGCCAAGGATGTGTAGGATTGAAATCCTCATACACTGTTGGTGGGAATGTAAAATGGTACAGCCACTTTGGAAAACAGTTCAGTAGTTCCTTAAAAAGTTAAACCATATGATCCAGCAATTCCACTCCGAGGTATAACCCATAACCATAACCCATTGTCATCAAGTCAATTCCGACTCATAGCGACTCTATACAGGACAGAGTAGAACTGCCCCACAGAGTTCCCAAGGAGCACCTGGAGGATTCGAACTGCTGACCTTTTGTTTAGCAGCTGTAGTTCTTAACCACTACGCCACCAGGGTTTCCACTCCTAGGTATATAAACAAGAAAAATGAAAACATACATTCAAATTTTTACATGAAAGTTCATAGCAGCATTATTCATAATAGCCAAAAAGTGAGAACAACACAAATGTCCATCAGTTGATGAATGGATAAACAAAATGTGCCACATCCCTACAATGGAATATTATTTGGCAATAGAAAGAAAGGAAGAACTGAGACAAGCTACATACAACAGGGATGAATCTTGAAAGCATTCTGCTAAGTCAAAGAAGTAAGACACAAAAGACCACATACTTTATCATTCCATTTATAGGAATTATCCAGAATAGGTAAATCCATAGAGGTAGAAAGTAAACAAGTGGGTGTCACAGGCTGGGAGGAGGGGAAAATGGAGAGTGACTGTTAAAGGGTATAGGGCTTCTTTCTGAGGTGATGACAATATTTTGAAATTACATTGCAGTGGTGGCTGCATATCTTTGTGAATATACAACCCCTAAATTGAATACTTTATAGTGGTAAATCTTGAAACATGTAAATCATATCTCAATTTAAAAACAACAATAACAGTTAGCTACCTCTGCACATCGATCACAAAGGCTAAAACTTAAAACACCTGCCACTGCCAAGTGTTAGGAGGATGCACAGCAACTGGGACTCTCACCTGCTGCCCGGTGGAATATGAAATGCTACAACCACTTTGGAGAACTATTTGGCAGTTTCTAAAAAAATTAAACACACACATACCTTCCATGTGACACAGCCATTCAGCTCTTAGGTTATTTAAGGAAGAGAAATGAAAACATACGTGCACAAACATACGTCCACACAAAGACAGGCAAATAAAAATTTATATGAGTTTTATTCACAACAGCCAAGAACTAGAAACAACCTAAACAGTCATCAAGACTTGAATAAATAATCAAAATGTGGTATATCTATCCAATTGAATACTATTCAGTAATAAAACAGAATGAATTTCTGTAATCTTTTCAAGCAACACATGGATGAATTTGAAAATCATTATGTGAAGTAAAGGAAGGTAGGCACAAAAGAACATATACTGTATAATTCCATTTAAATAAAATTCTAGAAAATGTAAAATAATCTATAGTGACAAAAAGCAGATAATAGCTACCTAGGGACACACTTCATGATGATGATATGAATTCCTTTGCCAAATAAGACAACAACTACAAATATTAAACAAAAACTACAGGAGATACAAAGTACGTGTCACAAGTACACGGGAGTCAGCTTGAAGGAGTTCCCACTAGCCAAATCTGGGACAATTAAGGCATCAAAAAATAATTAATGACAGTAAAGAATTATGTTATTGTTTTGTGCCATTGCGTCAACTCCATCTTACAGTGACTTTCTATGACAGAGCAGAACTGCCCTATAGGGTTTCCTACGCTGTAAAATCTTTACACGTGCAGATCACCAGGCCTCTTCTCCCACAGGGCGGCTAGTGGGTTCGAACCACCGACCTTTTGGTTAGCAACCAAGCACTTAACCATTGTGCCACTCGAGCTCCTAAAGAATTATAACCATTGAAAAAACAGGAATCCCTGAGTCTATGCTGATAATAGTTAAATAGGGGAATAAGGGAGAGCTCTTGGTAACAGAGTAGAATGCCAACCGCTGACTGGCAATTTGGAAAAAGTGCTGGAGTCAGACAATCACCATTTTGTAATTATCATAATAAAGATCAGTTCAGGCAAGAATCATCCATGGATATTAAATCTAAGGGTGGGAATTTTGTTGAGGAATAGGATATTTGGTATTAAAGTATCTTCTTACAGATTAGTTATTGGTTGCAAGGGAAAAAAATAGTACCTACACAATGGAGAAAAATCAGACAATATTTTGACCAAGTGATCAAAATTAACAATTCAATATTGTTTGATTGAATACAGATAGTAGATTAGGTAACAGTGTTATTTACCATTAAATTTCCTGAAGTTGATAACTGACTATGATAACTATATGTAAGAGAATATCCTTATTCTTAGGAAATATACACTGAAGTAATTAGGGGTAATAAAATAGTAACAGTAGGTGAGTGTGGGTAATGAGTACATAGGTGTTCTCTGCTCTACTCTTGCAACTTTTCTGTAAGTTTGAAATTATTTCCATGTAAAATATTCCTTAAAATATTTTAAATAAATAAATAATAGCTTTGAAAGACATTAAAAATGAGAAGACATACCATAGTGTTTAGAGATATATATACACTTGGGTTATAAACAATAAATAAAAGTAAGGAAGTGATTTATGAAAAAAGCCAGCATAGCAGTTACAGGGGCAGGAGGGTGTTTGGGAGGGGGCATGAAGAAGGTATCAAGGTTTTATCTTCTGAAACAAGTAGGAGCTACAAGGGTGTTTGTCGTAAAATAATTATTAAGCTGCTCATCTGTTTAATGTGGTTTTCTGTATTTGTGTTACATTTAACGTTTAAAAAAACTGTTTTTTAATGATGTATTTTTGGAACCCGGAAAAGCAAAACATCACCTAAAAGCTGCTCAGAAAATAGAAGCTTTAGAACAGTATAAGCGTGACTCCGTGAATAAATGACCTTAATTAGAATTTCCTTCTATCTATAACAAGTACAGGGTATCATCCTCACTATGCTGCTTGGGGGATACAGAACTCTCATACAACAAAACTTTATAACCCTTGCCTTCGTGGACTGCGCTCTTAGTTTTGTTTTCAAACGTAACTGGTTGATAAAATCAGTCAAAAAAAGAAAATGGATCAATTATTTAATGTCTTTTACATGAAGAGAATCTCTCTTAGAATCTGGTGACAGAATTTTTTTCTCCTGAAAAACTTGCATAATTTATCAGAAAATAAGTGTTCAGTAATCTACCAGGTTTCCTTCCCTGCCCTGGCTGCCAGAAACTTTATCTTATCTTCCCTACATAGTTGATTTTTATCTATTTTATCTTTTATTTATCTACACGAGGGTATATGTTTTCTTTGCAAAATACCTCAAATTCTTTTTTTAAGATAAAGGATGGGCTATTAATTATAAGTTAAAAAATAATACCTTTAACAGTATGATAACACTAACATAAAATAATTTAGCCTCCTAGTAGCAGTACTACAAATACAATCGAGTTTATCTGCGGTTTAAAAAAACCCAGTTTTAGTCAACTCAAAAAAACATGCAACTATTCAGAATGATTGCATTTTTGGTAACCCTTGACAAATGCAAAATGTTAGAACCAACTTTTACAAACAAAATTGTCTCCCCCCTCCAATCAGTTGCTTGGGGAATTCAAAAACTTGTTTCAGACAATTAGAAAAGAACTTCCCTTTACAGTACGAGATCTTTCAAATTAATAAAAGTAAAATTCCAATTCTTACAATCAAATATGAAAAAAAGGAACATAGTTTCTTTAAAGATTTTTTTTTCTTAATAAATACTATAATGATTGTATTAAAGCATAATAATGAAGCTACATTTACTGAAGGTAGACCCACTACTTTATCTACCTATTGCTGATCACAATTACCAGCAAGGTAGCACTTTTGTTCCATTTCACAGATGCGTAACTTGCCTAAGGACTCGGCAACAGTAAAGGTAACAGTAAAGGCAACAGTAAAGGCTGAGGTGTGAACTTGGAGCTTTCTAACTCAAAAACTTATCTTACGTCTACTTCATGCTGCCTTCCAAAGAATAAAGCTTTCAGCCATACAACTCCAGCATTTTCAACAGTTTGTTTTCTATGAATGCTTCTAATTTGTTTCCTCACTGACAAAATTCACTCTCAAAGCCTTACAACAGTTAAGTTTAATAAAAATCCTCACAGAGTCTTTTCTGTAAGTCTGAAATTACTTCAAAATAAACAGTTAAAAAAAAAGTACTCATACAGAACCATTTTATTATTTCAAAATGAACACTTAAAAAATAAAAAGGCAAGTACCTCGCACAGAACTGTGGTTGTCTACGGATAATGAATATGAAGTTCTATTTCATGGATTTGGGGAAAAATTACTAAAGTTACATTCTTTTTACTTAATTCATGGTCAATTTCTAAAACATCTGAGAAATAGACATTTATGGAAATATTAAGCTTAAGCTATAACAAAGTAAATGATCCATATGACATAACAGCTTGGAAATGTTTAAATAGGTCTCATTCAAGTAGGGAAAATGTGAATATGCATCAACAATCAACGTCCATGGAAGCAGCAGTCAAGAAATCAAGTGACATACTGCACTGGGCAAATCTGCTGCAAAAGATCTCGTAAAAGTTTTAAAAAGCAAAGATGTCACCTTGATAACCAAGGTGTGTCTGACCCAACCCATAGTCTTTTGAATCACCTCATACACATGCGAAAGTTGGATAATGATAAAGGAAGACAGAAGAAGAACTGATGCATTCGAACTGTGGTGTTGGCAAAGGATATTGAATAGAGCATGGACTGCGAAAAGAATAAACAAATCTTAGAAGAAATACAACCATAAAGTTCCTCAAAGCAAGGACAGCGAGACTTCAACTTGCTTATTTTGGACACATCATCAGGAAAGACCAATTACTAGAAAAGGACATCATGGCTGGTAAAGTAGAGGGCCAACAAGAATGAGGGAAACCCTCAATGAGGTTTTGACACAACAGCCGCAGCAATGGACTCCAACGCACCAACAATCATGAAGATGGCACAGGACCGGGCAACGTTCAACTGAGAGATGAGCATAGCTTGGACCATGGTGCTAGCAAAATCAAGTAAGGAGGCTGAGCAAGATTATTTCTAAGATTCCTTCCAGCTCTAATTTGTTTAGAACCCACAGGGGTTTCCAACTCTGGTTTTGTGACTTTCCAAGATATTTCCAATTATCGCAAACAATTCTCAAATCTATTATATTAGGAACAGCTCTCCAATAGCGAGTAAATTAAAAATATGCCAATAGGGCATTATGCACCTAAAAAGTCTGAGAATGACTACAGAATAGATTATTTTTCTCCCGTACTGGAATGTTTTCTAAAATATGGCTTTTATTCTTCTCAAGCTAAAAAGAACTACTTCTATGAAATTATATATATGATTACATAATTAACAAATAATACAACATAAATTAATACAAAAGGGGAATAAACACAAATACTGCTTAGATACATTTTTTCACTGCGCTTTCTTTCCCATAAAATAATAATGACAAAACAAAGAACATACCTGCTACATTCTAACAATGTAACTTTAAGGCGGCCTTCAGTAAGTGCCCATTGTTGTATATGGATATGCTCGTCTTCATCTTCTTCGAATCCTTGCAAGGTTTGGAATGGAAAAAACGGCTTAAACCTGACAAAAGCAAAGATAAGTCTAAATTTCTGAACAGCAAACACCACAGTTTAAAGCATAATAAGGAAAACACCACAAAACAAACACTGAATACTGCATGTGCCCTACAAAAACAAAGCTTACCATGCTCCGCCATAACAAGCAGCAAATGGTGGCGTCTCTGGTCTTTCGGCATGCCCTATTTGCTCTGGTGGCTCAGTGGTTAAGACCTCAGCCGCTAACCAAAAGGTCGGCAATTCGAATAGACCAGCAGCTCCTTGGAAACCCTGTGGGGCAGTTCTACTCTGTCCTACAGGGTGACTATGAGTCAGAATCTACTTGATGGCAATGGGTTTGGTTTTCGGTTTTTAAGTTGACAAGGCAGGGCATTAGAATAAAGGAAAGGAAAATTTAGAGGCAAGCAGAAGGACCTGAAGCTTGGCTGGAGGCAGGAGAGAAATTCTTTTCTCGAAGACGGGAAAAAGACAATAAAATATAATAATATACATAAATATGTAATATAAATACATAATAAACAATGTAATACTATAGATAGTGATTAATACATGATAATAATAATAACAACATCAATAACAATTAACAGCAGCAAAATTATTCATTAGGTGTTTACTATTTACCAGGCAGTGTGCTAAGAGCTTTACTACATGCATTATCTTATTTAATGGTCACAACTCTGGAAGGGTGATATTATTAGCTACCCTCTCCAGATGAGAAGAGCATGAGGCTTAGAAAGGTTAAGAGATGTGCCTGACTTTACAAAGTGAGTGGCAAAACCAGAATTGAGGCTGGTCTATTTGGCTCCGCCAAAGCCCAAACTACCTAACACTTCAAACCAAACCAAACACGTTGCCATCGAGTCAATTCTCACTCACAGTGACCCTACAGGACAGAGAAGAACTGCCACACAGGGGTTCCAAGGAGCAGCTGGTGGATTTGAACTGCTGACCTTTTGGTTAGCAGCTGGGCTCTTAACCACTGCACCACCAGGGTGCCATACGTCAGACACCTACAAATTATTCAGGCATTTATGTGCTCATTGTTAATACCACTGTTTTTATGGGCAAGCTTATCCTGAATTATAAACTATCACTTTAAAAAAAGCCTTTAATTTTAAACACAACTCACACTCCTCCATTAAAGTAAAGGACCAAGAAAACGGGAAAAAATTGGGCTTGGGAGCTACAGTTTCTAATTCACCTCACACACTGTGACTAGAGTATTATTCTAAAGGCTCATTTTCATGATTTGCCTGCTCAAGTTTTAACGGCTTCCCAGTGACCACAGAAAAGGTAGTCAAAAGGCTCTTGGTTTCCAAAAGGTTTAACAGGAAGCTTAGGGGACAATGAGTTTATGTTAAAAGGTGGAAGAACAATTCAGAAAAGGGGATGAGAATGGTTACACAACTTGAAGAATGTAATCAATGTCACTGAATTGTACACGTAGAAATTGTTGAACTGGTGTATGTTCTGCTGTGTGTATCAACAACAACAACAAAAATAACTTATTTTAAAAAAAAGTTCTTGGTTTCACATTCAAGGTTCTGCCACAATTAATCTTTCCAATATTTCCAATCATACTTTCCCTTAATATAAACCTTCCAATCTAGGAAATTTAGTTTTCTCCAGGACTCAAAAGACAATACATATTCCTCCCTTCAGGCCTTTTGTGCCAACTGAAGGTTATTTCCTACTCTTCAAAGCCTACCCAAATCCTACCCTCTTTCCATATTTGGCTCCAGGTCCTAGATCACACCAGACCACACAGATGTTTTATTCCTCTATATCTTCCAGTCATTTAAATTGCTGTACATTTATGCCTTGAAATCTCAACTAAAATGTCACCTTGTCTCACAAAAAATATCATGAAAAATAATTAAAGAAATTTAAATGCTAAATTAGAAAATATTCACTTAATGCAAAAGAATGGAGGAATAAAAAAGACATGAAACATACAGAAAACACAAAGTAAAATGCAAGGCGTATATCAGAGATCAATAATAACATTAAACGTGAGCGGACTAAACAATCCAATCAAAGAAAGAGACTGTCAGACTGGATTAAAAAAAAAAAAAGATCCAACTATATGGCATCTATAGGAGAATCACTTTTTTTTTTAAATTGTTGCAATCAAATGAAGTTTACATTTCAATTTAGTCTCCCATACAAATTGTGTTTTTTTTTTTTTTTTTTTACATACACTGTTATGAGACCCCAACTAACTACTCACCCCATTCCACAACAGCACACTCCTCCCCTCCGCCCCTCCGCCCCTGATTCCCCATGAACATTCAACCAGCTCCTAACTCTCTCTGCCTTCCCATCGCCACCTTTGGACAGACACTGCCTCTTTGGTCTCTTGTATCTACTTGACTAAGAGGCACATCCTTCACGAGTATCACTTTATGTCCCACAGTCCAGTCCAATCCCTGTCTGAAGAGTTGTCCTTGGAAATTGTTTTAGTTCTGGGCTGACAGAGAGTCCAGGGGCCATGCTTTCCACGGCGCCTCCAGTCTCAGTTAGACCATTGAGTCTGGTCTTCTTACTAGAATTTGAGTTCTGCATCCCATCCTTCTACTGCTCCGTCAAGGACCCTCTGTTGTGTTCCCTGTCAGGGCAGTCATTGGTGGTAGCCGGGCACCATCTAGTTCTGGTCTCAGGCTGATGAACTCTCTGGTTTATGTGGCCCATTCTGTCTCTTGGGCTAATACTTTCCTTGTGTCTTTGGTGTTCTTTGTTCTCCTTTACTCCAGCTGTTTGGGACCAACTGATGCATCTTAGATGGCCATTTGCAAGCTTTTAAGACCCCAGATGCCACTCACCAAAGTAGGATGCAGAACATTTTCTTAATAGGCTTTGTTATGCCAATTGACCTAGATGTCCCCTGAAGGCATGGTC